CTAAATCGGGGCTGAAAGGTCGGAAGATTTCCCTTTGAAATTCACGCAGCACAGCTCTTGTCTGCTGAGCGCTGTGAGCGGGTGCATTGTCGTGGTGAAAGAGAACGCGTTGAGCCAGGGCGTTTTTCTGAGATTTTTGTACTGTTTTCTCAAATCGCATTCATAATAAGCAGATGTAACTGTTTTCTTGCTCTGGAGAAAGTGAACCAGCAAAATCCCCTCTGCATCCCAGAAGACAGTAGCCATGACCTTTCCTCTTGAACGCTCACATTTTACTTTGACTGGTTCACTACCAACCCTGGGCACCCACTGCTTTTAATTAAATTTTGTCCTTGGAATCATACTGGTAGAGTCATGTTTCATCCTATTCACAATTCTCTGCAGAAAAGCTTCAGAGTCCTCATCCCACTTGTTCAAATTTCCATTGAAAGATCTACCCTTCTTTGCTGCTGATCTGGACGTAACAGCCCAGGGACCCATCGAGCAGAAAGTTACTTAGCCCCAAGCTCTCCACCAGAATTGTGTGTGTAGAACCGTGTGTCTGTTACTGATTCAGTGATTATTTGTCTATCCATTTCAATCATGTCACGAAAAAGCATCAGTGTTTTATTCACAAAGTGACGTTGATGGCCTGCCACTGCGGGGCTCATCCCCAATTTACGCTTCTTTCACTTCTGAATTAATCAGTCAATCGCCGTGCCTTCTTCGACCCCGATGGTTGGCTGCCAAAGGCCTCCAAAGACCTCGCTCTTCCCCTTTCCTCTTGCATTCCACATACTATCCAGTTCTAGCCTATTCCTTGATGTTGTCGAAGCAGGGCTCTCTCTGTCCCCCCCTTTCTCTCTTCCCTTCCACCAATCCTTCCAACACCAGCAACTCCCAAATCCCCAGCCGAGCCACTAAGAACGTGTCTCGCAAACTTCATCTTCCTCCTTGCAATTTGAATCAGCCACCTATCCTTGATGTTAGCCTTCTCAAGAACATCAACGTTCTTAACTTTGTCCTTCCAGCTTATCCTCAACATTCTTCTTAAACACCACATTTCAAATGCTGTTATCCTTCTCTGTGCTTCTTTATTCACTGTCCAACACTCTGACTCATACGCTGCAACTGGTAATATGTATAGACTCAGAATTTTGATCTTAGTCTGGAGGGTGAAGTAGCAGTCTATCAATTCTTTATGCTGGTAGAACACGTTCTTTGCCATTTCCATTCTTGATCTAATTTCCTCTTCGCACTTGCCATTTTCTGTGAATATACTTCCCAGATACTTGTACTTCTTGACTTGTTCTAACTCCGTGCTGTCGACGTGGACCTCTATTTGTGATGATTCCTTCCTCGATATAGCCATTACCTTCGTCTTCTTAGCGTTCAGTTCCATTCCGAACTTCTAGCACGTAGAATTCAAACTTTCCAAACTTCCGAATCCACTTATCCTTTTGTAGGTTGTTGATTTCTTTGGGGCACTGTCACCATAAACTTGTTCCAAAGCGTCAATGATTTGCCTATTCTACCAACCGAGTTTCATCGATGAATTTAATGTTTGTCCTGGCCTCGATTTGGGTGGATTCCATGTTGTTTGAATGGTGCCTGACTTGCAACTGGCGGTGATGCGTTATTATTTGCATTTAAGAGTTCATGTTTGAACAAGTTATAACACGCTGGTACAAGAATGTTCAGGTGCATTGAAATCAAAATCCTTCCATATGATTTCTAGTTTGAACTTTTCCCGCGAAATATTTGCAGCCCCTTCGTATATATATATATATATATATATATATATATATATATATATATATATATATATATATATATATATCCCTATCTATCCTATATCTCCTATCTTTCTCTATTTATCCATCTCTCTCTCTCTCTTTCTCTCTTCTCCCCACCCTTTCTCTCTCTTTCTCACTTTCTCCCTTTCCCTCCCTCCCCCCCCCCCCCCCTCCTCCTCCTCTCCTCCCCCTATCCTCTCCCACCCCCCCCCTCCTCCTCCTCTCCTCCCCCTATCCTCTCCCACCCCCCCCCTCCTCCTCCTCCTCTCTTCTCCCCCTCCCCCCCTCCTCCTCCTCTCCCTACCCCCTCCTCCCCCTCCTCTTCCTCTCTTCTCCCCGCCCTCCCCCCCCCTTGAAGATTTCCCGAAAAGCCACCATTCCAGAAGAGAAGCGATCGTGTTGAATCCTAGCGAAGCCCTTGTCAGCCAGCCGAGTCACGAATGGCAGCCGCTGTCATGCCGTGACGTAAGCGAATATCATTACAAGCTCCCCCCCCCCCCCCCGGCGCCGTGGAAGGGAGAAGAAAGGAGGAAGGGAGGAAGGGGGGGGGGAGACAAGGAAGAAGAGGAGTGAAAAGGGAGAAAGGGGAAGGAAGAGGAAGAAGAGGGAGGAAGAAGGGGAGGAAGGGGGGGAAGATGAGGAAGAGAAAGAGGAGAAGGAGAAGGAATAGGAAGAGGAATAAGTGCAGGAGGCGGAGGAAGAGGAGGAGGGGTAGGAAGAAGAGG